GCTCACAGAAAGAAAAAGAAAAAAAAAGAAAAAAAAATACACTTTCCCCTTCTGTTGTTCAGCACTAGGGGATGCTGACAAGTTTTAAAGAAAATCAATAACCTTACAATGCCAACACGTTACACCAATATGAAAGAGCTCTTCTTTAATGCCTGGCTTTTGCAGTATTATTCTGCAGAGAAAACCTCACTCTCAAAAGAAAATGTAGAGTAAAATGACATGTATGTTTGAGACTAAGTAAGGAATATAATTTTGATGTCAAAATGTTAAGCATTTGAGATCAAAATATCTATTAATGGAAAGATTTAATGGGAAATTTTACTATCACATTCTTTCAAAAATGGCCGAAATAACTTGTTTGACACATTAGACATGCACCATTGGATGCTATTAAAAGTACTGTTATTTTTGGGGAAACACTGCACTCACAGGGAAAAGCTAGGCTTTTAAAACATGAATAGTTTTATGCATGTTTATTAAAAAGGGCTAGATGAACTCATTTCTCTTACATCAACATAAACTCCCACATGCCAATATACACAATTAAGTATTTAATACGTTCGCTTTTTGAAACAGTGCTGTTTTTGTCTTACTATTAAAGCAGTTAGCTTCCCTATGGCAACTGCACATTTTTAAGTCCTCTGAAAGGAATATTCATTTTCCTCTAGAGGTTTTTTAGTCCTATAGAACATGTGCATAGAAGCAGAAGGCAGAGTGAGAATTCTGAAAACTGGGAAGGAGTAATGCAGTGTATGACAGAGCTTTTGACAAAGCTCTCCCCACTCTCACTGCTCTGTGCCAGTGTGTGTGTGTGCACATATGCTGCAGTTTTCAGTCTGGATTTACTCAGGTGGTAGCTGGAATTAATTTATACTGCAATGCTATTGTAGTAGATCTCTGGGGATGTTAATCATTAAATGAAAGAAACCCTGGCAATGGCTCTGTTCCAGGCTGGTCAAAGATTGCTGATAAGAACAACAGTAAACAATATAATAACCACATTACTATAACGACATCAGGCATGTATGCAGGAACAATGAAAAGCATACAGTACAGGAAGACACAGACACTTTCTCATATGTTACACAGAAGTTAACATGTTAAGATCCCCATTAAGTTTGTTAAGACTTTTATTTGAATAAGACAAAACTCAAAGCGCTTAAATATCTGAGAGTTTCTCCTAGTCACTGGAACAAGACCAGTTCCTTTGTACGGTGTATTGTCTCGCTGTTTGGCACAGTGTGGCTGGTGGAAGGCTACAGCTAAGTCAAACCTTACTTTTCAGACCATTTCTCCTCCAGTGGCAGAAAGCTAAAGCCCAACTGAGATGCATTTATGGCATCTAAGATGAATTTTGTGCATGGATAAGCAAAGGGTTTTGCACAAGGAAATGAACAGAACGGTATTTGTGCTCCAAGAATAATGCATAATGCAGAAAGTAATGCTTAGATCCTACATCAACCTGTGTTGTGCGTGTGTGTATGCATGTATCCTCACACAGATGCACATGTGCCTGTGTATGTATTCACCTCTAGTGGTGTAAGAATTCAGTGCAACTGTATTATAAAGCTGCAGGGCAGGCTTTGAAGAAAACAGCTGCCAAAATTAAAAATAATTGAACCCCAAGACTTCAAATCTCCCTACTGATTTTTGGTGTTTAATTTGATTCCACTATTTTTCTGACTCATTTTCTTCTGAAGTATCAGCTTTTCAATGTGTAAACCAGACCTAAACAGAATTCACAGATAACTGGAGGATGAACTAATAGAAAGAACGTGCTCTCAGAGCAGCAGGAGGTAAACAAGGTCCATTCTGCAGTGAGTGGAAATACAGAGGAATCTTCCTGTTCGTGCACTTAGCTAAGCTCCACTTGGAGGAAATTAGCACTGATTTTTTTTTTCTACAGTGATGGAGTCTATGCCTGCTCTTGAGGCACTACTTCTGACTCCAGTTGTTAGAAATATAGCATAGCTCTCAGTTCCCTATATTGACAGTCTATGTCCGTGTGCTGGACTTCAGCTCTCTTTCCCATCTTTAAGTTTTAAAAAGATCTTCGTTAGTCAGAGAGAGATGTTTACATCCAGTCATACTCTTTAACTAAACAAGACATTACCATGCTAATACAAGCTACAAGCTATGTTTCCTACTTGATAACCTGGAAATGTAATTGCAAATTCAATCAGAAGATTAAAAAATGAATCCTTGCACTCAGGGGGTTAAATACACAAGAAGTGAAAACAGAAATGCTCCATTTCCTCCGGAGTCTTGAAAGAAAACATATGTTCAGTAACCATACTCCAGAATCAAATAAGTTTGAAAGACTGTTTTTCCTCTGCATTTCCTGCTTTCTTGTTCATTAACCTCACTGTAAAATATAGAGTTATTTGCCTGAATTAATACTCTTCAGTGTTCTTAGTTCAGAAAACACAGCATGAAAAGGCAGGCTTCTGCATACATTTTGGTGGCAAGAGTGGGATCAAGTGGTGACGTGAAATTAGCACAGTCAGTATAACTGGAATTCTGCTCAGGACTTGAATTAAACAGAAATCATCAACTGGTAAAGCTGCCTGCAGGTCTCTTTTACTTTCACTTACTCTCACTCAGCCTGCAATTAATCTGTATGCTGAAATCAGCCTCATATGATTTCTTCTAATTCTTAACCAAGTGATGCTAAATTTTCAAAAATCAATTACTGCTACCTGCATTTTTTATTTTTGTTGCCATGGTGAATATCCTGCTCCTTCCTCCTCCTTCAATATTTAAAACTACTCTAGTACCTTGAGATTATTAACAGATCTCCATGCGCATTCATGCTTTAATGCAGTGACTTAGCACATCAGAAAGAAGAGAAAGGCAAAACAAGCATGGATGACTGTTTTTTCAATTTGATGTTAGGTTGAATCATCTCGGAGATGCTGTCCTGCAATAGGTAACCATACATCGTAGGCCAGGAGAGATATGTAGAGAAATATGTAGCCTCATTCCTTCAAAATGTGAGATTTTCTGAAGGACTTTGTTTTCCATCTTGGTTTAAAATTTCAAAGCTGTGTGTCAAACTATGTTATTGAATGTTACCAAAAAGTCAGAAGCAATTGAGAGCACGAGCAGTGGGTTTAAATTCTTTAAAGTTGGTGCTCTGGTAAGAAAAACAATTTGGGATGAAAGGAATGGAATGATATGAGAAGAAAGAGCAAAAACTGACTTAGCAGTCATAGGATGCTCTACTTTCCTAAGAGGATAGTGGGCTAGTGTGTCCATCAGGAAGGAGTCTAATGCTTTATCACTGGCTAGAATTGTAGTATACACTTTTGGAAGGTCACCAGCTAAATTCAAGCAGGAAGGAAGAAGACCATAAGAACATACTCCTAGCTAGTTCCACTGTTAGGACTCCGTACTCAGCAATCAATGAAACATATTGTAGTGCTTGCTTCTAAATGACATGACCATAGCCAGTCTGGTTAAAATGCACAAACACAATGAATAACACGCTTTCAAGAAAAAGGAGTCTGCTAAATCAAGCTTTTCTGTCATCTTGTCATGAGTAAAACTAACATAAATAAAATATATTTGGCAAAAATCAATGCATTCAGTCTGTTTTGCTGGTGGCTTTCACACTTAAAAATAGTGAACATTATGTTATTTTATTCTCTTTTGAAAGTATATGCAAATGACCTCTTAATTTTAGCTTTATCAGGATTCTACACAGACCACTATGTGACTCTCTGCGTGAGATATAAATGAATGGGGTTAGAAAGAAAGCGAAATTCATACTGTCCAATACTTATTACCTGAGATCACTTTGAAGCTGCAAAAAAGACAAATTCACTCAAGACGAGACAACAACTTCTGTGTATAACCTTAAGTAACATTTGCGTCCAGATCATTTTTTTCCACTCCAAACTGTTGATTATAAGTATGTAACCAAGTATTCGTAGTTTGAAATTGCATTCATTCATTTTGTCTTCATGGAATAGATCTTCACTGTATTCAAGACCAAACCACCTGATTGTACGAATAGCTGTCATGCTGGCTCACACATAGTCTCAACAATCTTGAGCCAACTGGCTCACCAGCTAGGAAGATTCTAGCTTCAGGTTTTGTTTAGTATGTTGGAAGTATTCGTGGACTTTTGCATTATTCTTCTCTTTTGCTTACTTTTTCACCTTTCTTCTACATACTATTCTCCTTTTTCATTTTCCTATTTTAGATCAATCACTCTAACCCTGGACCAAGCAAGGTTGGTTACTTTCTTTGTCTTTACTTATCCCTGCTATTGATACGTTCCAAACAGGATCTTAGGCTGCTCACTTCACTAAATTCAGACTTAATTATCTACTTATGATGTGGCTAAGGTTTAGGACTAGAACCAGCACTGCAAACAGCATATTTTCTAAAGTGATGAGATTTCAGTGCATTAATGTTTAAGCAGAACTGCAAAAGTTGAATCTTACTGTCCTATGGCCCGTTTCCTCCACAATGATCATATGGCATGGTCTGCATGTCCTTCAGTGTTATATACAGTTGGACAGAATTTGAAGAGTACAGTGCATAACAAGACAATCTAATACTTTATCACTGCTCTTGAGCTTCATTCTAGACATGTACAAAGGCTTCAGATTTCAAATAAGATGTAGAGTAAATACAAGAAAGTGGGCACATGTAACTAATGAATGGCACAGAGAAATAGAGCCAAAAGCAAATTTAATTCTTATGAGGAAAGATAGACTTGAAGTACTGTAAGGATTCTGACTAGTGGACAGAAGCCACAGAATGCTAATCTAAGGCCAGAATTTTATCCTTACCCTGATGAAAAATAATTCTTCTACCTCTTTTTAAATATATTTAGAAATTTAAAAGACATGTTAGAATAAGATTTAATTATAAAATATTTTATCTTGGACATTTGGACTGTTTATGTTGTAAAATAAACTTACTAAAATTCTTGCTATACAATATTTTAATTATCAACATAAAAAAAAAAAAAAAGGCCACTAGTTTTCGGTAGTGTTGCTTTTTTAATTTAGTCACTTAATCGTTTGTTAACAGCAGAAACCCTATCTTGGGTTCATTTTATGGTGTTACAACGCACAAGAATTTGTTAAAAACTGAAACTTCTATATTCTGTAAATCAAGCAGTGAACTTTAAATGTAATAGATTGTCTTGGATGTTTGGACCCTCTTCTACTAACTTTTTGAAAATAACTAAGATGACAATTGACAAAATGCAGGGATAGATACTACTGCTTCCCACAGAGGAGAAAGAAAAAGTCATGAAAAATCTAGTTTACTATACAGCCCTTATCTGAAAGCCTAACTTCTTTGGCAATGATTCAGTCACCTAATAAAAGTAGTGAGACATAATTAGAAAAAGCACTGAAAATTTTTCCTTTATGGTTTACATGAAAGTTATTCTTTGAAAACTGAAAAAATACAGCTAGGTCATAGCTTCACTGAAAGCAAAGCCAGTTTCTGTCATCAGGGGAATGTGTTCCCTTTGTTCACCGTATCTATAATTAAGTTTAAATGCTAACATTTTAAAGAGATCTGATAGTGTTTTACAGGGCAGCAGAACTGGTGGGGATGGTTTTATTGTGATCTGAAACAATTCATAGCATATGGCTTATAAGAAAGTTATTTATTACCATTTACTTGCCATACTTACATTTTGTCTTATGACCAATCCCTGCAAACTTGACACTGTTTTTTTCTTAATGGCTTTTCAGAGAGATATTAGCATTATACACTGATGTATCTCTAGGATATTAAAAATCATGAGTATATTGTTATATGAAGGAGTGTATAAGATATGAAATTAATTCAGGTGTTTTTATTATTGCTTTTCTTTGTTTTAATATTTTATAAAAATGTTTTGAGAGATTTTAATTAGAATACCCTGAAGTTATGACCTGACTAAATTTCGTAGGTGATATTCTCTGACAAAGAAACTTCTATTTGAAGTGTAAATTCCAAACAAAAATGTAAGTAAGTACCAAATAAACTTTTCTGACAGCATCTTGCTCTTTATACAGTTCACTGGCTTGATTTTTCTTTGATTCATAACTTGCACAGTTTGGTGCAATACTTGCATGGTTTGATGCATACTTGCACAGTTGGACTAGGTGATCTTGTAGGTCCTTTCCGACCTTGTGATTCTATGATTCAATAGCATAAATACTGTTTTTTGCACTGACTCACATCTGGAATAAGATGGATGCCCTTTTTAAAATGGAAAAAATACTGCAGATGCCACAAATTAGATGAAAACTTTTTTTTCTTTATTTTTTTTTATTTTTTTATTTTTTATTTTTTATTTTTTTTTCTGGAGGACTAGCAGAGAAGAGTGAAAGTGCTTATTTTATTAATCTCATTATCCTAACTCATGATCTCCCCACAACAGCTATTGCCTTCTTCTCAACAAATATGAAGTATAGATGGTAAGCTTTGCTTTAGATTGAATCTATCTAAAGCTGTTTCCCAATGAAGAGGCACTGACGCTTTTGTTCAGGCCTCTGGCTTAAAATGTACAAGTTTAGAAGTTTTTGTTAATAAACTTGGTTGTGGAAGGTCAGTATTTTCAGTACCGATGCACTCTGCACAGATTCCTGATTACTGCTGCATGTACTGATACACATAAGATTCTCAAGTAATTGACTTGCATGGCTGCACTGCTACAAGAGCTCATAGAGCCATGGACAAATTTAGCACGTGTTTTTAAGAAATATGACTGCTTGTATTTTAAGTATCAAATTATCAGTATGGTTTTTATCTTCCTGGACACGTCACTGAAAGTTTTTGGAGGTAGCCTTGCTGTTTGAAGTGAAATGGTTTTAAGTAGCAAAGTATGCAAGCAAATGAAAGAGAAATCTAAAATTTTCAGAGTTGTTTTTAGATTTCTGCCACTCCACACACCTGTGTTTGGTTTCTGCCATTCGAACACTCAACTAAGCATTAATAATCTGAAGCCTTTGCACCACCAAACAGGAGACCTGACATTTGTACAAAGAAAAAAGAAACAGAAAATGGCTTTTTCCTGTTACATCAACACCTGGGTTCTTGTGTCAGGAAGTCGAAGTCCTACCAGACCTCCACATACTAGAACAGTAGAAGCAAGGAGAATAGGGATTGCTTTGGTGATACCAACAAGGGAACCAAATATCAAGTTTCCAAGTACAGCTGCTGCTTTGCATAGTGCATTCAAAAAGCCAAAGCCGGTTGCCCTAAAAGAAAACAAACAAACAAACAAAACAAAAAAACAGGATAAATTTACATGTGCATATAAGATTAAAAGCCTTTGAAACAAATCTTGAGTGGAATAAATCAGTATAGGCCCAATACCTTGCATAGAAGTAATGCCAACAAGGATTCTGTACCTGGTCTTTTTTTATGTGAAATCCTGTTTCTACTGTGGCAGCACTTTATGAAGACAAATTTATTCTGCTCTCCAGAAATCAAAATGGGGAAAAAATGACTTTGTACACTTACACAACAGCAAAACCTGCAGCTTGAAATTCGGTAACATCTAACATGCTGGGTTAGTAGACAGAAGGTTGGAAGTCTTTCAAGAGCTATTTGGAAGGAGGTTACTAAAACAGAAGGGTGAGCATCATGGGGTACTGAATAGAAATGGATTTCTTATAGGTAGTATGCACATTCACTGAGTACTTTTTCAAAAGGCCAGTGAGACCTGTAATAATAATGACTGGCTATTTCTTAGGAGCAAGGCTTTTGAGGCTTTTAAAAAACCTTGTTTATGACAGAAGATTCTGAGAATCTTATGAAAAAAGGAGCATGGTATGGGCAACTCAGCAGGACTTTTGCTTTGTAAAGTGTGATTTTAATAATATTTGGTCGCCAGTCTGTAAATGCATTACACAAACTGCTATCATTTTAATAAAATGTTATGACATGACTGTATGATTCATAGTTGCAAGAATAATCTTGTCCTAACAAAAATTTTCTAACAAGATCTTCGGTAGAATGGTAGAATCTCTAACATTTCTCAAATCTCAAGAAGTGAAAGGGAGAAGGAATACAAGGAGCTCACGCTGTGCTTTCTGGGACAAAATAATAGCACTTAGGAGGATAGAAGCTTTTGTTTAGAAAACCACGTCTCTACATTGTTAATATTAAACACTGCTATTAGAAGGAAAAATGCCTCCAGTCTAAACAGAAAATATTAACATAAATACTAATGGATTGAGTGACTAAATGGTTCCCTAGTTATCATACTGAGACTCTATGTAAAGAAATGGAAATCCTTTACTCATATGCAGTCTGTACTCCTAGGAAATATATATGATATATGTCTGCTACTGCAGACCCTTAAGACTATCCCAGAGAATCAAACTGAAGCAGGCAGACTTGCTTCCAATCAAGAGCAAGGTTACAACTGAGAGGTTTATCAAGAGTCTTTATAGAAACAGGTTTTTCTTTCTTTTTTTTTTTTTAATTTTGAAAAAGTAGACCTAGCAAGGGAGAAAACTTCCTCAAGCAAACAATACATGTGTCCACAGTGATCATGTCACTAGTTTGTCTTTTCTTCAACCTCAGAATCATTTAAAGTAACAATACTTTGTCAAATTCTTGGTTTAGTTAGGAAGATGTTTGCAGAGTAGAATTAAGACATGTAAAGGAAGACTAGTTAATATACTTTCCAAAAGTTTTTATTAATTAACATTTAATACTCATTTGTCCATTTCAGCATGCCAAAGTCAACTTCTTTATTTAAAACATTTCTTAAGGAAGTGAAATCACAGAAGTCTATACTTAGTGTTTGATTGTCAGTCTGTATATTGCAAACCTTTTCACATCTCAGGACAGGACACAAGATAATATTTTTCACTGTGTGATTTTAACCATGACATATTCACTAGAACTTTGGCTGTATGTCTCCTGTAACAGACAACAGTGTTTTGGTCTCTTTAAAAAAAAAAAAAAAAAAAAAAAAGCAGAAGGACCTCAAGGACCTCAGAAGGACCTTCTGAACAGCAAGAGCTTTTACTGTCTTTTTTTTCTTTTTTTTTTCTTTTTTTAGATTTGATTAAACTTGCATTACTTACACAATATTTGGTGCCAAAAAAAGCTAAACTTGCACCTAGAAGTCATCATCTTCAAACTGACATGCTCTCCTGCAGGGCAGTGCAACCCAGCGAGATCTCTCTGAGAGCACACTACTTTTAAAGTCTTGCTTGAGAACCTTCCTGCAAGGGACATGTTTGCAACAATTCCTTCAAATGCTTTCCTCAGAGAGGAATGATTAAGACTTTTGGGGAAATAGTTCAAAGGAGCACTGGGAGATGTGCTGAAGGAAGTAGTGAAGAACCTTACTCCAGAACTTACACTTCTGGAGTAAGAATACTTTCAAAGCCTGTTATCAAGTGTCAGTTACAGACACATTGGCACCGTCAGGCCACACAAAGCTCAGTATCACAAGAGTACCTAGAGGAAGTGGTCCAGAAAGGGGAGAAGTTCCTAACAGGTAAGGAGCTCCCAACTGATGCATCTTCTAGGGTGACAGAGTGTGGAGATAGGAAGGAGGAACAGGCAGAGGAAAGGATGTGGTAAGTAAGACTTCATAGATTCATGGAATGGCTTGCATTAGAAGGGACCTCAAAGATCATCAAGTTCCAACCAAGACTTTATCACAAACAGGGAGGAAAAGGTTAAAAACAAAAGAGAGAGAGAGATTTTAGTATCAATATTAAAGAAAAATATGAACTGTAAAAACATCAGGTCTGGTAGAAAGATAAGTGTTAGAGAAAAAGAATTTTACCAAATGTATTTTACGTCAGGTGGTGGGAAAGCTGTGACAAAGAAGAACACTGAGCTTCCTTTCACCCAAGCCCCACATAACAAACGGCAAGAATCCAAAGTTAAAAATAGAAGGATTATCCAAGCCTTCAGATTAAAAGAGATTGCTTCCTAGTTGCCATGTATGCTCCTTCTTAGACAAAGTGCTTGTATATCTAAATAAAATAGTTTGAAATTACGTTTCCATTGCTTATGGAGCACCTCCAAACTTAATTTTCCTGTAATGGAGTAATACTGAATATACATAACACAGACATTTGATGTCCTTCTTGCCAGAGCTGATGCTCAACCTACCCATCATTTTAGATTCAGAACAGCATTTTTGTGGAGATTGACAATACACAAATGTTACGAAAACAAGAGTTTCTGAATGTGCTATTGATGATTTTCTACTGATAAAATATTTTTGGATTTTTTAAAAATCAGTACAGAAATGCATACCATTGGCTTACCAATTAGAGCATTTAGTCTGCAAATAAAACAAGTTAATGTACCTTCTTCCCTTACAATTGCCTAAGAAACGGCATTGGTGCTGCATTTCTTACCTTAAAAACAACCACCTTTCAATTTCAGCAAAGTGCAGTTGAGCCACATCCACAGGATGGCAGTAGAAAATAGCTGCCAAGTAGTCTACAGTAGATTAATGACTGCTGTTATGACTCAAATGAATGGAAAACTTCTCTTCTGACAACCAGAACAATAAAAAGTTGGACTTAAGGCATTTGGAGTATAGGATTTATTTCTCTTGGGACAGATTATCAGGGCTTCAGAGGAAAGAAAAAGCTAAATATAATGAACTGAAGATAGGTGACTTAATTTTTAATCATGACCAAACCCTTATGAACTTCTTTCGGAGGTATTAAAACAGGCAAAACAGGATGAAATCATTTTATAGCACATCTTGAATTCTAAATATTCCTGGCCATGTTTCAAACCCAGATGTCTGGCAGCCTTAACAAAACCTATGAATTGTTGGTTATCTGATGCAATCTGACCTTGATTTACTTTGTGGGAGATACAAGATTTCAATTTATTTATTGTGTCCATTCCTGGATCAGAGTCTTAGCTCATAAAGTTACTGCTTCCCAAATTCACAAGAAAACATTAAACATTCATATGAATAATGATTACATTTTAAAGTGATAATAATCTCCTACATGTTACTTTTTCAGAAAATTTTGACTCCCTTCTAGTCATATTTGTATTACGGGCAGAGCTAGGAAATTATGCAATGTTACTTCAAGCCCCTTGGGCACACACGTTACAGCACAATCCATAATTACCTCATCATACAATATTTTTTTTCCACCATCACTCTGCCAATGCACAGAACAAAGACAGCTTGAGGGATAAAACATGAATCACGTAGTGAAGGACACTTGATTTTCCTCACATGTTACCGAAGTTGGAAAGGGCACTGTTGGGTTGGGTCTGTATGATGAATAAGGTAGCTGAGTGCTCTCAGGAGAAAGTACACAATCCCTATTTCTGCCACAGAATTCTATATGATGCTAACAAATCATTTAAGCTAACTAAATAGTTGTTAATATGCATTTCACATTTTCTGGCTGCTCAGCTTAGCACCTTCAAGTTTGTCTCGCTGAAGTGCTGAATACTTCCAGCTACAGTGAAAGTTATACTCTGAGCCCATTCCCTCTTCTAAAATGCTAAGTGACAGTAATAACAGGTCCCACAAGCGACAAATCTGGCATCTAAAGTCAGTTTTGGCAGCATTATCTTTCTCTTCAGTGCCATAATTTCTGTATCCTCTCTTTTCAAAGGAGCACTCTGAAAACACAGAAAGCTTACAACAGAGTAGAAAATCAGTCCGTTGTCAAAGAGAAGAAACTCACTTGACACAAAACTGTTCACAAGAAGTTTAATAATTCTGCTTCAGAGCAGGACTTTCAGAGCTATGGAACAATATGGTTTGGCTCGCAAGAGGGCTACAACAGACCAAAGACTTTTCAGAATCTGTTGATGGTCAATCCAGAAAAGCACGGCCATTAAGAAGAGAAGACAAAAGATGAGATAAAAGATGAGACAACCTATGAGATAATACTGCAACTTGACTAATTTTCTTGCTTATTAGAAATTGGCTTATTTATGGCTTCTCGTCACTGGTGTACCTAAAAAGTACCTAACACATTAAATAATGTCATATATTAATTTTTAAATACTACCAAGTGTTTTGTAAGTGGAAAAGTGAAACCTACCTATGACTAGTATTTGTAATATATCTTCTACCATCTAACACAACTTCTTCATCTGTCTGAAAAACACTTGACATGTTTACAGTCTTGAAGTCCCTTATTTTAGCCATTGTGCAAATTAACTCAGAGTTCATAAAGAACATACAAACTTATGTTACCGTGTCATAAAATATAAAATAATAGAAACATCTAACTTGGAAAAGACCTTCAAGATCATTAGGTCCAATCCTCAGTCAGACGTATTAAGTCCCACCACTAAACTATGTCCCTTAAGCATCATGCCTGCACATCTCTTAAATACTTCCAGGGATGGGGACTCCACCACTTTTCTGGGCAGCCTGTTACAGTGCTTAATCACTTTATCTGTGAAGAAATTCTTCCTAAAGTCCAATCTAAACCTTCCTTGGCACAACTTCAGGCCGTTTCCTTGCATCCTATCACTTGTCACTTGAGAAAAGAGGCCTATGCCCACCTTTCTGCAGCCTCCTCTCAGACAGTCGTGGTGAACAACATCTCCCCTCAGAAGCCTCTTCTTCAGACTTAACAGTCATAATCCCGTCAGCCACTTCTCACAAGTCTTATTTTCTATCCTTCTCCAACTACACACTTCTCAAGAACTTAGGACAAACAACTGAATTGCTTCATATCCAGACATTATATTTAAAATAAATATAGATACAGGTGATTTTGAATGCATATGGAATTCAAATCTCTTATGATTCTGAAGCAACCTTTAAACTACATTGTGGGAAGATGGTGAAGAGGAAACAAAAGCATGTTCTGTGTATCATAAACACCACGTATTTCCAAATTGCTCACCAAATCCCTATCTGTTAGAAAGCCAGTACAGTCTCTTGTAAATTATTTGGAGTATGATCTGAGAAACACCTTTTGTAATGGCCTGCATGACACTGGCAATGCCCCAGTAGCTTGGCAGCTGGCTGGTTTCCCAAGAGAGCTGTGTATGAGGAAAAGCAGGGGTTGCTCAGTCTGGTCTCCAGTGCATGTTAACATGAACTGGCCTCCTTTCACACACTTTTCTTCTGGACCATCTTCCAGCTGAGTCTACAACTGTTTTGTGATCATTTCATTGGTTGAGAATAAAGAAAAACTATGTACTGGAACAGTAAAACAGCAATGCAGTGAGCACCTTTGCCCTAATTCGAAAAATCATGGGTAGGAACAGACTTCTGGAATTGCTCATTTCCTTGTAATTCTACTAAGTAGAAAATGGTTGTGATGGAACCAGAAAACTCATCTTCAGTTTATGTCAGCAATGATTTTCCTGGATCGGGTAGATTTGGCCTATCAGCCTGTTTGCACTGATAATATGAAGTGATAAGCTTTCTGTTGCAAAAAATATCCCTACAATTCAGCTACCAGTGTATTTTTGATTTAGGGTTCCATACAGTTATTATTACAGATGTGAAATTATTAAAAAAGAAGAACATGGAAAAAATTACTACAATCCCATATTTTGCAGAAACTATTAAAAACAATCATTGGCTACTAATACAGGTACCCTAGAATAAATATCAGTAACATAATTCTAATCATTCCTAGCAATGATGAATTATTTTTCTTCCATTAATACCAATGGGTTTTCCAATTATTTTTCTTTATTTCATTTTAGGAAAACGCTTGTGTCTGCTATGTTTAGGAATGCCAACAAAATAACATATAATTACATCCTTATAAAGGATATTCATTAGAATTATATCTTAGTATTTGGCTGATTTAAAAGCTCTTGCAGAAGGAGATTCCCTGAGGTAGTAAAACTAGTAGTGTTTACAATTAAATCTTAGTGTTTTGGATTCATGAGTAGCCTAGTGTAGTTGTTTTGATGTAACAACAACAGTGGATATTAATTTCTTCTATAAAGAGGCATACGTTCTTTAAAAATAGAAATGGAAACATATTCAACTGGTCTATAGTTTTTCTCCCTTAAAGGATAATGCCAACATCAGTTACATCAGTGTTGACAAAATCAGGCTTGCCAGTAAGTTGCCCAGCATTTGTAAACTTCTGGAAATGTTTTTCACTATATTTGAAATGTCCATTGAGTGACATAAGAACTAGCACAGTGATAAGAGAAGAGACACGCTGTGATTTGGTAGGAAACTGGAAAGTTTTACTTTTTTTCCCCCCCAAGGAAAAAGAAGGGAAATATCTTAGCCTATTCGCAGTATTTTCCTGATTAGGTGGTATTTGTTGTGACAGACATACCAAATAGCTAAATAATCTTTTTTTAAAATTATTATTCTTAAGACAAACTATGATTTTAATTCATCCAAAACATCAGTATTGCTGTAAAGCTCATACTTAACCATTTATCTTTACCATACCTGCTGATAGCAAGGTTAAAGGAGACGTATCTTTACATACCTTCTGTCTGTAGGATACAGCTCTACAGTAATAACATCAAGAGAGTTCCAGGCTGAGATGGTGAGGCCATTGTAGAGGCACAGCATACCTATCATCATGGATTCACTGGTCCCAAACCACAGGAAAAAACAGCTTATGCCAGAGAGAACCATGGAACCACCTGTATATGAGATGGAAATAAAAGAATTTGAAGTGGAACTGTACTTGAAAGAATGACTTTGCTTTGCTTTGTCTAACATTTTATTCACAGAATGTAGCAAAATAAATGTCTCATATACTTGAGTAAAAAAACTAGAGAAATATCCTTAAGAAGAGAAAATGTCACTTTGTCTGAAAAGCTTTGGGTTTGGGGATTTTTCCTGTTTTAAAGTCCATACCTAGCATTGTTAAACGTCCAATTCTATCCATCAGAAGAGCAGACACAATGTTCCCTGGTAACACTGCCAACGTTCCCAGAAAATTAACAAAATAAATCCAGTAGGCACTATAGTCATCATCAAAGGAAATCTGGCATCCTGTCTTGATGTGAAAAAATGTGCAATTTATAAAATCACTGTCAACAAATTTATATTGCTCGAGATCTGTGGAAAGAAGAAAAAAAAGTTTTCAGCTAACAGTTGCCTCCATATGCACCTTTTGATTAAAAACATTGCAAATTCAGACAACCTTAATGACAACTAGGAGATTTTACTGCTTCATAAAATGGCACTAGTTACAACTGTTAATTTTGATAGCCTTTTATCTTAATAGAAAAATATGCAAAGGTCATAAAGAAGTCATTGGAGACCCTGGATTAGGTCAGTTATATCAACATAGCTCAATCCTGTTTGGATTACATTTGGTTCAGGCCTTTCTTAGCAGTCTGGTCTTGCATAAAAAGCACAGGACTTCTGCAGGTTTTTATCAGTCATCATTGCCATTGTTCCACAGTCTTGCTTGGTATCAGACCTATGTTTTCCATATCTTTCAGAGAGAACCTTTCAGATAAAACAGCCAATCATGATTATTTTGAGTTCTCTTAGAAGAAAATGTTCATGCAGATTTCAGATTAAACTTGTTTTCATTCCTGAGAGGACAGTTTGGTTTTCAGCTCCATTCTGGTCTGAAGAAAATGTACTAAAAATGTATCTGACAATGCGATGCAATCAGTTCTTTGTTTATCAAACTCTTTCATTAAATGTGAGATCTGCAATCTCAGCCTAAGCTGAGATTGTTTAAATATTCCTAATTAACGCACAGTAACCATTTCTGACTTTCATTTTTTAATAGTTCTGTGTCTAGCTAATTATTTTGAAAGCTGTCAGTCAGAACCTGTTACGACCTATCAGATGGTCACCACTCTACCATGACACTGGTGACATTCTCATGCATTTCTGAATAAGTTGCATTACTACATGCAGTGGTTCAGGCCATCTTTTTAAATAATATTTCAGAGGTCTCTCCTTATGTTTCCTCCTTTATTTCTTCTCTTCCCATCAGCCTTAAAATCCTTATTCAAGAGTACGTTTCTTCCAGATGAAGAAAGCTGGGCATTGCTTGTCCTGAAGCCTAACTCTGTTGCTAATGTAAGAGTTACAGAAAAGCATTAAAATTGCTGTCTATCTTTGAACACAAGCTTTCTTGGCAAGATTCTGCTTTTACTTATAATGTACAAAAATTGGTGAAAATAAAAACCACAAAAAAAATCCAACAACAGCAAAAAAACACACAAGTCTTAGAATATTTAGTAGATTGGAAATGATGAGATAGTATGAATCCTGAGCTTGCTCTCCCATGCTACAGCAGGCAGAGCATACCTCCACAAGTCTTTCTAGGCCAGAATAAAATACTTGATTAAAGCAAGCTGTTTCTCATCTTCATATTGGATATCTTTAGGAATGTTGAAAATCAAAGAAAAGTTTATCATCTGAGTCAATATTAGGCCTGCAGTATTTCAAATGGAGGTGTGATCCTTTCTCTTCTGATACTATTTTAGTGAGGCCTGTTGATTTCACAGCTTTGTATTCCCTACAGGAAGGCTTCCTGTATGCCTTATTAGAAATTCAGAATTCATAATCACATCATAACAATTAAATGAGAATATGCAGGTGAGTGCAGGTTTTTCATGTGATACCTGTGTTGTAGAAGGTGGTATTCACAAAAGTGCAGTTCCTGAAGTATGTATTCAGGGAAGTTATGTCTTCAAACACACAGTTCTTAAAAAGAGAATCTTCAAAGGTTACTGATTTAAACTTCATCATGACAAACCTGTGCAGTACAAATAGCTTGTATCAGATTCCTTTCACAGGTTAGAAATAGCAACAGGTCAACTTGAAGCAGTCACACAGATTTAACAGGCATCCTTCTAAAAAATCACACCTCCAGAAACAATGACTACTTAACGAGACTCAGGAGCTGAAATAAACGATTAACTGACTCTGGAATACTCTCTTTCAGAAAAAGCACTAATAAAGTACATAGCTCCTGGCCATAACAAGTGAAAGTATTTCTATGAGAACATTTCAGTTATGTCATGACATTCGTGCAACAGTCTTGTAAAAGGAACAGTACTTGCAATTTAACATTACAGTCATAAATTGGGATCTCAAACACCAGAAACCCAGTCTCTTGGAACAAACAAGCACCTGCTGTTACCAAAGAGCTGGAAAGAAAGAATTTTTGAAAGAACCTTTATTTCTCTAGAAAAATACACTGAGCACTGTGTAGGACTCAAGTCCAGAATGTACCCATTCAAGATTTTAAAAATGGTTTAGTCTGGTTTACCATTATCACAACAATTACGTTGGCATTTTATGCAACTAAATATCTAGCTGAAAGGATGGGTTTCCTAGCTCTGTCTGTGAATGTAACTGCAATTATTTTCTGCATAAGACATGCACAAATGTATTGTCAGCAGCTTTTTTATTTCTGAACATCCTTGTTCCTTCTGACCTTTATTTAACTCCTTGGTCTTTCATCATGACTTTCAATCAAGTTATCAGTAGATAAAATTAAGGGCAAAGAATCTTACTAGTAGTTACTTCCTAACTAAACTTTACTAAGCTTAAAACAATACTGTAAGACTTTTCCACCGTACTCTTAATATCATGATAACAAAATTTAAAAAAAAAAAAAAAAGACAGATGTAATTAAGCAGCATCTTTCTGATGTACTTCATTTTGCATAGAAGTCTGGAAAAAGATGCAATTAAAGATGTACAGTTTTGCTGGTAGACTTCAAAGTGGCAGCACTTCAAAAAACAATCTTTAACTGTTGTATAAGAACTGTTAAAATAACAAACCCTTCCAAACACAGGTCTGATTCTATTCTAATAAAACCTGATGTGATTAGCTAAGTATTTGTCTTACCAGAAGTCTAATCGTAGGAAGAGCAGCACAGCAAATATGCTACATTTTAAACAGTAGGAATTATACTCTAAGCAGTGATGTTTTTGGAATTGCGTATTGACAAGGAAGTAAAGCAAGAACTAATTATGATTATCATAGAAGAATTACTAACTAATGATTCTCTTTCTGTATTGGTCAGAAAAGCAGGTATTCTCAGCCCATTAGTTTTACTTACTCTACCATTTCTCATTTCCAACACTGATTATAATCAGGTTGGCGTTCAGTGTCAATTCATTATCATTTTATATATAACACTTTCCATTTTTAAAATTAACTTAATATCAGAGGAGAACAAAGAGCACTTAGCAGTTAGATTAGTCAGATGTAACACGAAAGACAGATTATATGTCCTACAAGCTCCTGATGCACATATCAAGTTTTGACAGGAAGTATGTTGTGACTATATTAAAAATGGAATCACAGTGATCTGACTTCAAACCAAACAGAAAGGCAAAGAAGTAAAAAGTGAAGTATTACAGTATCTTCCAGCTGAAGGCAACACTGAAATTAAGAGTGACAGGAATACAGAAACATTTGTGGATAAAGAATATCAAAAGAGTTCACCTCACTGCTCAAAATAGCTTGTGAGTCTCAAATAGCTGCCCGATGCCTATTGAATTTGCACACTTGCAAGTGCTTTTGAGTAGATTAGTACTAGACTTTATGTTTTACAGTAATTTTTAGTTCAGATTAATAAGATCTCGGTTGACAGAGTACAAAACATCTAAAGCTAACTGTCTGTGAGTGGTTCTTTGTTGTTAGGAGAACAGATGTTTCTTGGAAAGGAACTGGGATTGTTAGTTTATTAATGAGATTAGTAACTGTTAGTTTAAAAATGAGATAACTGGTCATTTTCGTCTGCAATGCATAAGCTGTGTCAAAACTCGAGTTCTTATTAAAGAAGAAGAAAAGCCTGAATTAATAAAAACATTATTTTTATTTACTTAGATATATCTTTTCATATGGAAATAATAATTGCTTATCACCATGTTATAAAGGACACCAATCAAAGGTAGTTTTCTTTATCTCTTAAGAGAAACCAGACATTTAAAACAGCTGTGTTTAACTGTCTTCTAAGTTACTACTATCCATAAAAGTCTAGCTAGAGCCTTAATAAGTATACATTCAATTTAAAAGAAAAAAAGACATTGCCAAACTGTTGTCCTCCCATTTTAGAGCTGCTTTGGACTAGCAATTAATTTCTGTTTTCCTGTGCTAAGATCTTATCCTCTCAATGTTTCATATTTTCAAAGAAGCATCTTAAATCAATACAAGTAAAAAATAGCAACATAAATGAAAGTACATCCTTCCCCTTCTCCCTGCAATGCTGTGACACGTGCTGGGTCTGAAAACCTTTGAATCTCACTGTGGAAAGAAAGGCTGTTAATGTGAGCTTTCCGGTCCTCTTTTCAGACTGTTTTCAGGAGGGCAAGGATCAGTGTCAGCATGAGGATCCAACACTAAAGTTAGGAAGGTGTACACAGGAGCACTTCTTATGTACCAACGTACTATTCAAGACTGAATTACGGTAAATTGTATGAGATTGAGAATAGAGACATTAAAAAAAAAAAACAAAAAACAAAAAACTAACAAGTCTATCAACTACCAGTTGACAGGGGAAAATGTTATATTAATCGGACTTCTCAGAATACATGCATTTATCTATCATTAAGACAACTATAAACCTGTCATTGATGTATTCTCCGCTGCTGTGAATTTGATTTTCCAGTGTAAAGTTGAAGACAAAATTTGAAACCTCCTCGTTGCGGAAAAGTTTCACTCGGGACGCATACTCATCTGACTGAAGGTGTTTAATGACATCAGGAAACCAGACAGATAAGCCATAGTAGCTGTGAAAAACAGAAAATGCTGTTATGTCCTGGTGCCTGATCCAGCGGGACCACAGTAAGGCTGTGCTCCCAGAGCTCTAATCTGCCAGGTCCCCACATCTTGGCTTTTCTCTGTTCCCATCCCTACCCCTCTATCTGTTTCTGTCCCAAAGGGTGGTGTTACCACTTGTCCTGCTGCTTGCTGGGCAGCTGAGAAAGGCTCAGATGCTAGGGCCTGCCCTGACTAAGACTGGAAAGTCCTATGGGCATCCAGACACAAAGAATAAAGCTCTTCATAAACTGCAGACCGTGGGAGCTGCAAAGATTAATCTTTTTATAGTGTTTGTTTTAAATTTTGCCTTTAGATACAAACAGGCAGAGTAAGAGCTTCTAAAGGGTATATAAATTAAACCAAACCTGAAGACTGCCTGAAAAATAACCTGAAGAATCTGAACTTACTTTCAGGTTATGGCACAGTGTTCGTATTTTTAAAATGTTGAGACAATCACAGTTCTTCTGTGCTTGTCAATTGCCTGGATGAAGATACTGAAAGATCTCAACATCAGAAGATGCCAGTGTTCTAAGATAGACATCCTCTGAGTCAGGTTTATTACCAAGAATATACTATACAATAACATTTTTTGTAAAGTTACTAAATAAGGACTTAAAAAAAATAAAAAGTAATCTGAATGACAGAGATTTACATGCAGATGATTCTTCTGTCAAGTTCATAAACAATGACTTGGGATCTCAACTATTCTTACCCAAAAGACAGGGTGAACCACACAATTGTAAGCTTGATTGTATTGTCCTTTACTGGGTAGTTGAAACATCTCATGAACGTCAACCAAATCTGAAAAGCAGTAGGAAATACACTCATTTTAAATTGTATTTTGAGTAGTTTTATTAAATAGTACAAGTTTTTTTATTCTGATTGCTTCCTCAGGGAATCAGAGACAGTGGGTGATCCTGTTGATACGGAACTGGTAGCTGTATTTCTATGACAAGTACACTGTCCTCTGGCCATTACCAGGTGGTGTACATTCTATTTCTGGTTTCTTTTCACTTTGTCCATTAATTCAGTTGTTCTCTGACTACATAGAACTGTGCTATCCTTTATGTTGCTTCATTCACTATCTTAAATAAACCAGCTGAAGTATGTCTGAGAAGTGTTTCCTTTTCACCTGTGAAAAACTTTCTTTTAACATTTTCAATGATGTGGACTGTTTTTTCTGTTTTTGTTTCTTTCTTTGTTTGTTTTTTAATTAATGAGTATTTGCTCAAATTTCATTTGAAGGTTTGACAATACTGCATAATTTTGATTTTACAAAAAAAAAAAAAAAAAAAAAAAAAAAAAAATTCCAGTAGAATCTCAATGGGTATGTATTAATCTTTTTAATTTATCTCTAATGTAGTTTTCTCATAAAATATCTGACATATTAAAAATATATGCATATTCAATTGCTTATAAGGCCTCACTGACATCCATTTACACAAGTTATTCATGACTTTACCATTTCTAGGTAAAGACTGTTAATTTCATCACGTATCACCCCTTCACATGTGAAGATATTAATATGTATTTCCAGTACAAATTACATTGTGGAGACTGAACAAATGTCAGCCATCACTTCTGTAAAGGCCAACAAAACGTTTTTCTCCTCTGAAGTTACAGTGAACACCTGTGATTCATCTATGCCTTTTCTGCCCAGGACACTGGAATCTTACACTGGTTACTGACTTTTCTATTTGCATGGAAAATGTAGGACTGCAGTTATTGCAAGCATTAGTTCAAAAGAATTTATTGTATTTCTGAATGCTAATTATAAAAGATAATTGTATAACAAATAGAGATGTTGTTACTTACACCATATAGCTCTGTGCGAATTCTAACAAAACACCTCCTGTACCAAGTTCCTGTATCACTCTCTATTTCTATGAGCTCATCTATCTGCTTTGGAGTTTTAATTCTGTTAACCTAGAAATAGAAAAAGAACAGCAAATATTTGCATTTTCTTGAAGCACTGAACTGAGTATCAACCAGTATTAGAAGGTTTTAATAAATCCCATAAACTAAAAATGAACAGGTTTTAAACCAGTGTTTAGATTAGGAATGTTTTGGAAACACGAAAGAATAAGCACACTTTAATAACAAAGTTCAGTATGAAGGGATCTGTATTGGAAAAGCTCTACTTTCAAACCATGCAGGAAATCCTTTTCCTTTGATTGAAACAGCATGTTACTATGAGGATTTGCTCAAGTTTTGCTGTACTTATCTCTAACGCCATGAAGGATAAAATGTTATTTAAACCTTCAACTAATCATGCTCAGTTTGATATTTTTTTCTGACTTGCCATTAACACATTACTGAAGGTCTATTGATTAACTATACAGTAATGATACAGAAGCATTTGAAATATCAAGAATTAATAGTTGAAGAATTGAAGTAGCATAGCTGAAGTAGCTGAAGTAGCATTTTTCTTTTGTTCTTATTTCCTGTAATAGCAGACAGGGAACTCTCTTTGTGTTTCAGATGTAGGCTTTAATTATCCTTTTTTAAGGAGGAGAGAAAAAATTAGGTGAAATGGGTTGGAACTGTACATGTTATTGCTCTTATGAGCAATCATCTTCTACATCTAAATTGAAATAAGATAAACAAACATAAAAGAAAAATATAGAAATACCAGTGACAGAGAATGTAATGCTGCTTACTATGCTAATTTTATCTTGCATAATGAAGTGTAGGAGAATAAAGATTTTTAATATAGTCTTATCTATTTCTTGACCTGATGAATGTACTATAGTATAGTTTTATCTGCCGTTCCAATAATAGCAAAACACAGTGTATTCATACACAGTTTATTTAAGATAAAGATAAAAAGAAAGAGGATAGAAAGAAAATAAGTAGAATGGGGAAAGTGACAGATATATGAGAAAGGAAAGACAGACACACGGGGTATTCAATTTTCGGCTGCTGTTTCTGGCAGCCGAAATAGATCCTGTTTCTTCTTAACAAAATGAGGACACCACCCACAGATGTATCAGAGTGGACGACAGGGAATCAAAGAATAGTGGTATTAATGGTAAGGTTCCAGTTTCCAGCCTGCTGCTTTTTCAGATGTATTATGTTTAAGAAGGACCAGCAGCCTCGTCGCATTAATGGAAACAAAACAAAGCTCACTAAGTAGTTTTACCTGTAACCAACCTAATTTCTGAAATAAAAAAGTTCACTGTCTTGCTAAACTATTATATCCAAAATCTGTAACCTTCTCATCATGCTCTTTCCAACAACAATAATTCTGTCTCTATCATTTATTTGATTTTAGATTTTTTAGAATTTTTATGAAATATTTTATTTCATAAAATATCTAGACTTGGTCTAGATTTAGAGTTGAGTCCTCTAATATTATCAAAAACCTTGTATATAAAAACTTCCTCAAACATTTTCATGCTACATCTCTGAGTGAAAAGAGCATTTTGAATAATAATCTTGGAGTTAGCATACTTCATGAGCAAGCAGCTGAGCTGCAGCCTTTTCAGTGTCCAGGCCACCTGATTTGTTCGGAGCAGTAAAGGCTGGGGGAATTATATATGTCCAGGATCACTAGATGTGACTAGGAACAAAAAGCCCATGGCTTTGATGGTCCTTGAACACACAAAAAAGCTCCTATAGAATCCGGACAATGGTCCATCTGGACCATGCAAATTTAGCTGTCAGTATGTGAGGGATGAAGAATTGGGGGGGGAGGTAGGGGGAGGGAAGAGAGGGTGTGAATACCTATTTAAATGAAAAGAGAACCTCTGTTCAATAGCAATGTGTAGAAATACACAATGTTTAAAATTCTACAGAATTTTCCTGAGAAGGAAAATATTAATAGGAAAATGGAAAGAGTTTTTATATGGAGCAATGAAAGAATGGAGAGAATTTTGGTTTCTGAGGTAGAAGGATTTTTATTTATTCATTTATTTGATTGTTTTTATTTTAGCCTTTAAACCAATTATCTAAGTAATGCATATTTTTGGTCCCAGGGAGGAATTTAAACATCTATATGAATGCTTAACAACTTATTTGAACTCAGGTTCATCTCAGAATAAATTTTTGAAAGTATTTTGAGCTATTTCCACAAGTTCCACAATTTATAACTAGATTACATCTAATTTGGAATTTCTGACTCTTAAACCAATTGCTCATCAACTGACACATTTCTGTTCTAAAGGTTTGAAGCTAAATTCCTCAATAGAATAAGTAACAAGAATAAACAAGACTTGTGGAAAAAAAGAAAAAGCTTCTCAAAAAAGATGATATCAATATGATTCAGGAAAACAAGTCAAACAAAAGCATCCTAAAATTATAGAAATATTAAAGTTACACCAGCTGTTAGAGTAGAAAACACACCACCAAAGTTTATCTGCTTGGTGTAACTGTTGTCAGAAAGCAGAGGAAAATGCCAATGCTTAAGTTATACAATGATATTGACCTAAACCGGGTGAAGCTATGGAGCTCAGGAGAGCTAGGAGAATGATTTTTCAACACAAAATGTCACAGTGGCCAGTTCTTATTTAAACCAAGGAGAGAAAGGGAAAGAGAGATAGACTAGAAGGATGCCTGAAGTTCTTTGCGCTGTGGGCTTAATACGATAAAGTGCTAATAATTGTCCAATGAGGAGACAGTGATGCATTTTCTAATCATATTACCACAAGCCTACGTTTGGGGGTGTAGAGATTTCTGTCAGTGTGTATCCCTGGCACGCAATGTACTAATCAGCTCCTTGTTATTGTGTTTTCTCAAGGTCAAGGCAGAAACTGGCAAAAATCCCAAATAGTGATGTGATACTACAGATGATCTTTTCTCATATTTTTTGTCCCAGCACATTTCTGTCTTCTTCCCTGTGCCTAAACTAACAATCTGAGTGGTGGGTAGGATTTAAGCCATGACTGACAGGCTCTGCAATGGATCAGGGAATAGCCATGCTGGCAGAAGAAACTGAAAAGGTGACTTGAGAGTAGGAATATCTTCAAAAGCAGCTCAAATTAGCATGAGTCAAATGTGAAATTACACCCTGAGCGTACAATGTGAGTAAAGACAAATAAAATAAGGCTAGGTTGGAGAGTATTAGGGCTGGGTTGCTGGTGTACCAGTAAATGCAGCTGTAACATGACAGATATGCTAACCAGCCTTCCTTCAGGCTGAATTATTGAGTTTCCTTGTGGAAAAAAAGTTAAATGTAGGCTATAGAAACTATATCTAAGACAGTAAGTTGCATGTGTAGGTGGAGTAAAATTATATGGTCAGATGGTCATTCCTAAGACTGCCTGCAAATACAAAACCTATAAGAGGATTTCTTAATTGAGTTATATGTGCATTAATGTAAGAAGAAAGCCCTGGAAGAGGAATCAAATTTTACACATGGCTATGACTGGGAACAGAATACCAGCACTCCCATGGTGCAACACAAGCTGGTAAGGGAGGCTGGTTTTCAATGTAAAAAATGCTTTCTGCTGTTTAGTTTTACTGTACTCAGGGAAAGGGGTAGAGTGGGGAGAATAAAGAAAGAAATGTATATTATTCATAAATAGAGAAGATGGCATAAAAAGGACCTAAAGCTGAATAATTTTTCCTCCACATAGAAACAACCCATCAATATTTTGAGTATGGCTTTATCATGAGATCTGCAAGTAAAATATATATCTTGCAAGATATTTTGAGAAAAGTAAATATCTGTAAAAACAATTTCTCAAAATAATGACAATAATTTAAAAATATATTATTTTAGCTGGTAAAAATGAAAAAAAAAATCAAAATCTCAGAAGAAAAAATATCAGCTGATTTAGGCTTCCACATTTTTCTATTATTATTATTAAACATAACAGAAATTACAACTGGAGTCCATTTATTATCCCCAAGAACATGCTGGCCAAAAGCTGAGATATTAAAATCTGCTGAATGTATAACAATTTGATAGGAACTCAGTTCCTACACTTAGATATTTATAATGCAAATTATTTGCTTTGCCATGCAGAGTAATAATATTGATTGCTTAAGCACTCATGATCTCACCTGTCAGCAAGCTGGTTGATATGCTAGGTGGTGAACATTAAGTGTAACAGTACTCACTGTGAAGACTTTCTCAGGCTGACCACGAGCTCTCATGTTTGTGTCGTGAATTTGCTTGAGTATCATCCAAGCTTCATCGTGTTTTCCAATCTAAACATTGGACGAAAGCATTTAAACAAAACATACATTCAGATAGCCACTGAACAATCTTATTGCCTGTTATAAAAATGTTACTGTGTAAACAGAACCAGCGAATCACAGAATCACAGAATAGAATAGGCTGGAAAAGATCTCTGGAAATCACCTGGTACAACCACCTGCTAAAGCAGGTTCCCTATAGCAGGAAAGCGTCTGGGTGGGTTTGAGTATCTCCACAGAAGGAGACTCCACAACCTCTCTGGGCAGCCTGTTCTAGTGCTCTGTCACCTTCAAAGAAACTTTTCTCATGTTCAGAGGAAATTCCTTTTTTCCAGTTTGCGCCTGTTGTACCTTGTCCAGTTCCTGGGGACTGCTGAAAAGACTATGGCCCCAACCACTTGATACCCATCCTTCAGATGTATCTAAGCATTGGTAAGATCCCCTCTCAGTCTACTCCAGGCTAAACAATCCCAGCTCTCTCAGCCTCTCCACTGAAGGGAGATGCCTCAGACTACTCATCATCTTTGTGGCCATCAGCTGGATTCTGTCCAATATTCCCTTTTTTTCTTGAACTGGGGTGCCCAGAATTGAAAACAGCACTCGAGATATGACCTCACACAGGGCAGCATAGAAGGGCAGGACCACTTGCCTTGACCTTTTGGTCACTCTTTTTTATGCATCCCAAGATACTAGGATACCACTGGCCTTCTTGGACACAAAGACACACTGCACCCAGTTCCTTCTCTGCACTGCTCTTTTCCAGCAGATCAGCCCCTAACCTGTACTGATGTGTGTGGTTATTCCTACTCAGGTATAGAACTCTACATTTGCCATTGTTGAACCTCAAAAGATTCCTCTTCACTCAACTCTCCAGCTTGCCCAGATCTCCCTGAATGGCAGCACAGCCTTCTGGTGTGTCAGGCATTCCTCCAAGCTTTGCATCATCAGCAAATGTGCCATGGCTGCGCTCTGCCCCTTCATCCCCGTCACTGATGAAGATGTTACATAAGACCAGAGCAAGTACCAACTCCTGGGGAACACTGCTATCTACAGGCCTCCAACTAGACCATGTGCCACTGATCTCAACCCTCTGAGCTCTGCCAGTTAAGCAGTTCTCAGTCCACTATCCACTCACCTATCCCACACCTATCCCACACTTCCTAAGCTTATGTACAAAGATATTATGGGAAGCTGTGTTAAAAGCCTTGCTGAAGTCAAAGTGCAGAACATCCACTGCTCTCATTGAAGGGAGAGCCACTCATGACTTCATAGAAAGCTATCCAATTGGTCAACTATGATTTTCCCTTGGTGAATCCATGCTGACTACTCCTGATAGCATTCTTTTCTTCCACCTACTTGGAGGTGATGCCCAGAATAAATTGCTCTAATACTTTCCAGGAACAGAGGTGAGGCTAACTGGCCTGTAGCTTCTTCCTTCTTGTCCTTTTTGAAGACCAGAGTGACACTGGCATTCTACCAGTCTTCAAGAACCTCTGCCATTCTCCACAGATACTGGACAGTGGTTTGGTAAGCAGTTCACACAGCATTCATGGTTACATGGTTACATTCCATTGAAGCCCATGGATTTGTGTGCATTGAGTCTGCCCAGACAACCTCTAACCAAGTTCTCCTAGACTGAGAGGAATTCTTCCTTTTCTCAGACCTCTCTTATCTCCAGAGTACTGGGATTCCTTCTAGGTAGTCTAAACAGTAAATACTGAAGCAAAGAAGGCTTTCAGTAACTCGATCTTTCAGTGTCCTCTATTACCAAGGCAGCCCATGTTTTCCCTAGTCTTCCTTTCGCTACTGGTATAATTAAAGATGCTTTTTTTTTGTTATCTTTGGTGTCTCTTTCCAAATGTAAACATGGAAATAGTTTTGACTGAAACCCGAAAAACATGTTGAAAGTTATACCTCCAACAAGAACCGTGGACTTTCTGGCATAAAGGTGAGGGCTACCACAGAAGAGACGCAGGGCAATGCGCAGACGATCACAAATACTCTCCAACTGTGAAACTGATAAGCAGATCCCATGCTGAAACTCCATCCTAAGAAGAAATTCAAGAATATTCTATTTTCACAAACATAAATGATTACAGTCTGAATTTCAATCTTTTGCATGTCAACATGGCAAATGTCCATACTATACCGAATGAGGACGAGGAAGTCTATATAATGTTTTTTGGCAAAACCTGTATACAAGTAGTCACAGTAATGGAGACATGTCTTGATCATACATAAGACTTAACATACAGACAGGTAGTTTTGCTTGAATACTGAAAGCAGGGTGAATTAAAAATCTCTTAAAAATACTAATAGGATATATTTTGTTGATTTTTCTAACACTGAATGTCACATCAGTGTGTCTATTAAATGAGAAAGTTTTTAAAAACATATTATTTTTTACTGACAAAATTTGGCTTCTTAAAATCTTCCTCTAATAAGCTATTTTAAATGTTAATGAATATTGGGCACTGAGTTCTCATAGTAAATCATTAGAAATAAATGAAAAAAGCAGAAACAGTAGAAATTTGTGAAAAGTATTCAAGAAACACTGCAGAAAAATCTACAGCAATATGCTTTTAGGCTGCTAGAAACAGAAGCTCTAAAATCAGAGTAAATTGCTCATAAAACTTATGCTCTTGGACCTTCTTCAAATTAGTATCTTGTAACTCAGTACTAACTCAGCACTGAAATACTGGCATATGGTAACTTCTTTTCTTTTTTTTTTTTTTTTTTTTTTTTTTTGGTGTGTGAATCTGTTTCTGAATTAATGTTTCTATTCCTTGAGCTGTACATATGGTTGAGACCACTGGTTCCTTTAGGTGCAGATAATCAGTATTTTGGAGTTTCAAGAGCTGCTTTTGCTGCAGCACTCACTTTGCTATTTTATAAAAGTGAATACTGTGGGAATAGTTTGTAAACCTTGCAAAACAAGATGCAAAAGTGACATTTTAAGGTTTGCAACTGTATCCATTTTAGTAGCTATTCTCAACAAAGAGCTAATTTCAACACTCTTAAAAACACCATCGCATAATGTAACATAGTGCAAAATTTAAGACATTTTTAATGCCTAATTTCTATTTCTATTCCAGAGCACTATACAATTCCTCCAACGCTGCTGAAAGTAAAATGTCCTCCACCTCTTAACTGGATGTACTGGAAAAAAAATAAATAAATTAGTATTTAAACTTCTATCTGATATCAACAAGCTTAACACTGAAGAAGAGAATTTGTAATTATGTAAAGATCGTAAGCAAAAAAAGATGACATGAGAAAACATCTTCTCATCTGAGAAGTAGATCTTAAAATATGCATGAGTATGGACTCCTAGGAAGACAGCAAAAATAAGTACTAGAAAGAACTCATGTGAAACTTCAGAGTCATTAGTCCAGCTTTTTAACAAAACATCTAATTGCACGGACTACTAAAATGATAGAATTTTTAGAAATGAAAAAAAATACCTTACGAAAGACAAAAACATGATTTAGGTAATTACCTTCAATCTGACTTCAATACTGTAGAATATTTCAGGCAAAATATTGAAGGAAAGCTTATTGAAAGTAGAGAAGTAGATAAGAATAGCAATAATGATTGAAGTGATTACCAGAAGAAAATGGAATACTGGCTAACAAAAGTCCTAATGCTGGATTTATCTGATACACTTCTTTGCTAACTGATTCCTTCTGGACAAAGTACACAGTAAACTAAACCTGATTGGATATCAGTAAGCAACTGGTAGAGCATAGAGCCAAATGTCTTATTAAATATTCCTTTAAACGAAGTATTAATCTGTAATGAATACAGTATAATTTGGAATTTAAAGATCTCATGTTCTGCATCATAAATTCATTCTTAGGAAAAGATCAGTTTTCTAGTTAAAGTACTTGTACTGATGGTGTATCTTTGCCCTTTATCAACAGATCTATGGAACTGAGCTGTAGAACTGGGAACCTGTTTTTTCTAATTCATTACAAATTTTCTGAGTTTCAAAAGTGTTATCAGATTTATTTACAGCCTCATTTAGTCTCAGAAGATAGAAGTGAAATCAGCAACAATATCAGTGATGGCCATTGACTGCTGTTCTACTTTTTTTATAAGGAGGGCTCCGGATAGCTATATTTTCCTCCTCCAAAGTTCCATCCAACAAAAAGAAGATACCTAAAATGTCAACCTAATTTTGATGATAAATTTTATTCAAAAATAGAAAGTCAAATGAAAAAAAATCAAGATTAAAACAAAAACAAAACCAGAAAGGAAGGAAAAAAATAAAAGAAGGTGAGGTGAGTTGATAAGGCAATTAGAAATCATGTGTTGGGGTATGTATTTTGTACACGTTCTATTATAATCATTCAAATTGTGTTAATTATATATGTTAAGCTACAGTATAAAACCCTCTGGTATAAAACTCACAGAACTATTTACTTTGGTTTTGTTAATTTTCAGTCAGACCAGTCAGGAAGCAGTGCAACTTCTAGAAAGGAGACAACAGAAGCAGGGCTTTCATCTCTTAGAACAACAAAGTCAAAATTCTGTCTCTGGTCATTTAAACCACCCCACAATACTCACAGACAGTACTATAATTACCCTGCCTGCTTTTTACCACTCTGGTTTATATTTTGAGAGATTTAGCTTCCTAAATAGTATTTCCATGTTAAAAAATTTTATGCTTGTTTTATACACGGAAAACAATAGCAGTATCTCTGTAGCCAGTCCTCAAAAATGATAGTAATAATTTACTTCAATGTGTGATTTATTAAGGTAAGTGAGCCACATTGTCTTTAATTAAAAACATTGACTGCACTGTGTATGCTGCTGTCATCTTCACCATTTGCAAGACATATTTTTACTCCTCAGAATGTCTGAGAGCTTGTTAAGTGAAATGTTCGTCATAGTTTCTATTGCTCTTTTTACATCTTTTTCTCTTTGTAGTAGATGCTGCAGTTAATACCATGGTTTATTGTGTCTGCAGAATTAATGATAACAGTGAATGTGAGAATTAGAAGAATTGGTAGAAAAAGTGTTGCAACACATCTATCTTGAACCTGTCCTCCTACTTATTCCTCTACCACTTGGTGAAAGAGCAGAACAAACACGTACTTTAAATGCAGAGCAAGTGCAGATTTATTCTTATGTTGATCATCCCATTATCTGGGGTCATGAGCTGATATGGAAAATGAAGCCATTAGAATAATTCTGAATTCAGCTCTCAAAGTGGCTCTCATAACCACCGTCCATGAGTCTTGAAATAAAAAGGAGCTTGGCTGTAACTCAGTTTGCCTTTCCCTTCTCTGATTCGAGACACAAAGCAAAGATGGAGAAGCTCTGCTCGGCAGCATTCAGAGCTCTGCACAGCAGCCCAGAGCTCAGCTCCACCTTTGCTCCCTGGCTATGCTGTGTTCCAAGGCCATCAATCTTGAAAACAGTGCCAAGTTCCAATATTTTATGAATTGCTGAAGCTCTTGGCCCAAATGCATCTTGGGAAAAGTTTTCTGTAGAGCAATGTCAAATCTGCAGTGATGAAATATGAAGCCAGTGCACCAGCCTTCTTGCTGAATATTGTGTTCTCACTGTACTGATTACTGAAAGGAATCAAGTGAATCACAGACATGGCAATTACTGATTACAAAGCCACAGCAGAATGCAGCAGAGCAAAAGCAAAATGTATGGGCTGCTATCAATTACAGTCACTGGTTTTATGTATGAAATTGAATGTCAACAAAACCTTTACCCTAACGGTATTTCTGTTTTGTAATATTAATAAGTAAAAAGAATATTGTAAATTAGTTCTTGCTGCAAAAGAAAGAAATGTCATAGATTTTCTGAATAAGCATAGAAATAAACCTGTCCATACTATGCTGAATTTTTTCAACTTACATTGCTAGTATTGTCTTCTAGGTCATGTGTAGTTTTTTACAGTGGTTAGGTGTTGACATACTCTACCTAATGAGACCTGATTAGTGGACATATTCTACTTAACTTTCCAAAATGAGGGCTGAAAGAGAATTTGATAATTCAGCAAATCACTTAAGGTTTTAAAGTGCAATGAGAGGAAAAAAAAAAAAAAAAAAAGTGCGCTTATAGACTGTATAAATACTTTCTAGCAAGGAGGTTTTGAAATGCCAGAGGAACAAAGTTGTAAAGCTCCTTTCAAAAAACCTAAATGAATGTAGGGATTTTATTGCTTGTTTCTGCTTTAAAACACACTTATTCACCACAACCAGGTCATATAGGCTCAATTTTAATATTTTTAAAGTGGAAACATTTTCAGTAAGTGTGTGATTGACCTGAAGTGCCACTTGGCGGCACTATTACCGCACATAATACAATAATCAATTAAAAATGCACAAACACTTATTGTTTGTTTGTTTGTTTGTTTGTTCACTGAGCATTCCCAACATCTAAGCTAAATCAACCTTACAAAAATGACTGGAATTTCTACATCTGGCAAAACCGAAATACTCTACCACTGAACTTAAATTTAGTGTCTCCTGGTACTGCTAAACTTAGCTGTGAGTGATGTCCAGAACTTGAACCCAAATATTCTAGTGCGACTGATTGGAATAATGGTAAAACATCACTGAAACTGAAAAAAAGAGAGTTCATCTAAGTGACATAGCTGAGGAATATTCTTGATACCTTCACAAGCCTGAGGGAAATATACTGTCTCTAACAAAAGCAGAAATAATGTTTTCATAATTATTCTTCAATTATATTGATGTGAAATTCCAGCAGCACAAAGGAGAACTTATGTCTTTCATATGATTAGATTATTAATATCCCACGGGAAATGCAGTGATATTTTTAGCCTCTATTGACAGATATTCTTTAACTCCACTGACTCAGCAGGTAATTTTTGCAGAATAATTCAGGAAATAAAATAACCAAAGTGTGTCAGGCCATGATTGAGTTACCTTGACAGAGCTGCATCTAAAAGACTATAATTCTCACTCACATCTGTCTGTCTCTCAAGCTAATGCTATTAATCCCTTACAGACATAAGGACCAACAGTTCAATGAAAGAAGACAGTAATGTTGTTAAATGGATGTATTTTACCATCCATACTTCGTCTGCTTACAATTGAAACCATGATTAAAAGGAACAAGGCATTTTTTAATTA